ACACACACACACACACACTAACACACATCAGCTTCCTCTATCTCCTGTCTCATTCTTTCTCTCTTTCTGTCACTCCATCCTTCTCTCTCCATGGCATGATGTACGGGGACAGATGTGTGTGGATATGTGTGTGTGTGTGTGCGTGAGACAGAATTAGTGTTTGTGCTAATGAGTGGCCCTTTAAGGCTATTAAGCTAAGATTGGTACGCCCAGAGTCCCTCATTACCCAGCAAGCATTGCCCCCTACACGGAATGGTAATTGGTACGGAGATGGGGAGGGCCGGTGGAAGTAATAGGAGGATAAACATGGATAATTGGGAGGATCGAGACCAAGAGAGGTGATTGATCAGGCTGATTTGTGTCTGCATGGAGATGCTGTGTGAATAACAGGAAGGTTAAAGGTGACACACTCTTGTATGTGCACACACGTATGTCGACTCGTATACTTTACATGCATGAGTGATGTTCTTTAGACCTGCACCCAAAACAAACTGGAAAGCAGGAATGCGTCCATGCATACAGGCACAACGTTGTGTCAGAACACCCAGTGTGACAAATTAGTTTCTAATACTATTAATGTTTAAGTATCATGTCAAACTGACCACAGTTTGTGTCAAAATTCTGCAAACTACGTTTTTAACACTTCCCGGCTGTGTGTTCTGTGTATGTGTGCCTATAAATGTTAGTCAGAATTTGGTCTCTATCAAAAGCCTATTTTTTTCTCAAAAGTGTAACACCAGCATCCCCTGCTGGATATGTATGAATAGCTCAATTTCTCCAAACCTCACTTGTTCGCACTAACATTTCTTCACATTCTCATTTAGAAGATTTTGTATAAATGTAACACATAACATGTTTTATATTTACTCAGTCTGAAAGATCTAACTCGTGTAACTACAGTCTGTGGTTCCAATTTGCTTTATTTTGTGAAATTAAGTGTATGATATTATTATTTAAGAACTGATATAATCACACAGATAACTTTTGTAATTACAAAACTTGAAAGACAGTTTATTTTCCTAGTTAGAAGAGGGTTTAGAGTTTGGCACCTTTTGGCCAACCAATAGGAGAGGAATGATATATATTTATATGAACAAATACACTTAATTACTGTGGATTTTGTGTTGTTTTTATGTTGTTTCATCTTGAGATGTAAAGTAATACACCAGTTAGCAATATTTGTTATTCTGTCTGTCAAGTCTGAGAATTATGTTTTAACCTTTGTCGCCATCATGTGTACGGACTATGAATTACGACCAAATAGAAATACCAGAATGGTATAAAAAAAAGAAATCTGACATACTAGCTGATGTTTTAGACATCCTAAAATACTCCAAATACACATGCATCTGTTCACCTTGCCTATTAAAACAGCTGATGTAATCCTAACAAGATCAACCTCCAGCATAATAAAGTAATAAATGTGTCTTCCATCTACTCATTGTTAAAAATCAGATTTTAACTCTTTAATGCCATTAATGTCATATTTCTTTCATTGTAGCACAACTTTATTGTGTTTACATGTTCTGATACTTATTGAAATTTAATAAAAAGTAAAGAAAAACGTTTACTATATTGTTGTTTGTTTAATTTGTTTTACATTTTGTTAAAGCAACAATAACTTTAGATACAAAAAAAGTTAGTACGTGTTTTATCTGTCTCTTCTTGGGTCATGCTTTATTGGGTTAAGATGACTGTGATCACAAATCATTTGTAATCCAGTTATCGTCAAGTTTAGACACTGTGTGTAGTTACATGTGATGTTAAAACTATTCTTGTGATCCTTCTCTGGAGAACTGATAAAGTAAATTTAACATGTTAATAGAAATATTCCATTTGTCTTAAGTATTTGATCAAATTACGTTTTACTGCAAAACCTATATCAAGAATATTTAGGAAAAAAATAAACCATGTACATCAGTAATATATATTGCTTATTGTAATGTGGATATGGCTCAAAATTGAAATACTTCCAATCTTAATCTCAAATATACTTGTCATAAAGGCTACTTTTTGTGAAACAGTGTTTAAAATACTTCTCTACGAGCATAGCATAAAAACAAGAGACCAATTGATCGTTTCTGATGGCAGCACGTCGCGACCCCTGATTGGATGACGCAGTGATGGACTGAGGACGGAGAGGAGAGGGCTTCTGGGCGAAACCATTCATCCAGCTGAGGAAAACCTAAAGATTAACCTCCACCAGAAGGCTTCCAGCTCCGAGTTACAGAGGATTAACGACGCGTGTCTGTATTAAACAGTGAGATTACAAATCTGGGTAATTTAGGGCTAGATTAGCCTCTGCCTGGGTCTGTGAGCGTTGCGGCATCCCCACCGCATCCCTGCGAATAAACGAGACGAACGGGACGGGGATCGTTTCACGATGGATACCTGCGAAGACGCAGAAATGCAACCAGGACTGAGGATTCCGTTCAGCTCTCTCTGTGTTTAGTCGTTTTTTGTTTTGTTTTTTGTCGCTGCTTGCTGCCTTGTTTGCGATGATTCTCGTGCGAAGGCTCGTCCAGCTGTCCGTGCTGCTCGTCCAGAGCGGGTGGCGGGGGGTCGAGCCGAGCCCCACCGATGAGGGAGCTCTCCGGACCGGCCACGGAGAGCATGGGGAGCCGGGCCATCAGGAGCCTCACAAGGACTCCTACAATACCTTCGCCTCCGAGTTCCTTGAGTCCAGATACCTATCTGATGACGGTAAGAAGACGGCTTCTTGAGCCGGAAATTTAGAGGAAACTGTCTTTCTTTGTTTTCGTGTAAAGAAAAATCATTCTACGAAGCCCACCAGAGGAGATAATCAGCCGATTGTTGGCTGAAACTGGGCAGATTCCTGTTAATTTCTTTGTATGTAACCTGGCTCCTGTGTAGAAGGCCTTTCAGCACCTAGGCCAGCTCCCTGCTGATCCCCCATCCCCATCCCCTCACACACACATACACACACACACACATACACACACACACACAGGACAGATGGCTTCTCCTGAGTTGGCCCATTAGACTGAAAACAGGCATCAACTGTTTTGTGTGTAACCAAAATAAATACTGACTTTGCGTTTTGCAGGTTATCCGTTCCCCACTGCACCACCGGTCGATCCTTTTGCCAAGATCAAAGTCATTGACTGCGGAGTGACCAAAGGCTGCATCAGGTCAGAAAGAGTATCTGCAGTTTTCCGAAAACTGAGCTCAAGTTTATATTCCCACAAGCTCATTTACCTCCAGGCTGCGGCCTAACTTGAGGGAGCTGCAGCTAAACCTGGAAACTCTCCAGCTCAGTGTATTTTCCTGGAACATGATGAAGTTCATTTAGACAGCGGTATAATTGGTTTGGCCCTGATATGAAATTGACCACCTAATGGCATTTTCAAACAAATTCTTCATGCCCGCTGAGCCTTTGATTGATATTATCTCTGTGTCCAGGTATGGGAAGCCAGGGTGTGATGCAGAGACGTGTGAGTACTTTCTGAGTTATCGCCGCATCGGGACAGATGTGGAGTATGAGATGAGCGCAGACACAGACGGCTGGGTGGCTGTAGGTTTTTCCTCTGATAAGAAAATGGTGAGTATCCGGACAGTCCTCTAACTGTTGACACAGAGAGAAGCGCTGCGGCTTTGACGGGCAACACGTGTGTGTCGGTTTCCAAACAGAGCGGGGTGGGTTGCCACATAATCTCATACTGAACTGGTTTTTGACCTTTCAGAGAACTGTTGGGAATAAGAGGGCGCTTTGCTAGTTTGACTACATCACCTGCAAGTGCAGTAGGGGAGGTTACACAGCACACGCCTGCAGATGATCATTAAAATGGGTTTGATAATTCCATGGCACCATTCAGAATGGTATATTTGTAGTTAAAGGGTCTGTGGAACTCTGTTTTGTGTTTCTTTTTTTATAAATTGTGCTATGTGGACTTTGCTTTTTCTTACTTATAAGGGGAAGCCCCATATATTCCCAACCTAAGTCAGCGTCCTGTAAGGTTCAAATGTTTTTGCTGTCCCTGATGCAGTAGGGACTCCAACTCATTGACTCTCCAATGATCTGTGGTTCCTGATTGCAAAATACAGCTAAAGACTGCTTAACTGTATTGAGTTTGAATGAAGCCAATCTAACCAATTTAAGACATTAATAGTTACAGCATGGTTGACAAAGCTCATTAAATGGCCAAGGTGCCCATTGTTCACAGCCATGTATAAGGAAAAATAGTGAAGGAAGCTATTCTGTAGCAGACTCAGAAAGGGGCTGGAGGTTTGACTATGCATATTGGTACATTTTGGATGATTAAATTAGCAGGACAGTGCAAACCTCGCTGCCACACATGACCTGAACTAGACAATGATTATTATCAGAATGAAACTAATTTATTTGCACTTTGTCTTGAAGGAGTTGCTTAAAAAAACAAACACATAATGTTCTTCATTCATTGATAATCCTCGCTGTCTCAGGGAGGAGATGATGTCATGGGATGTGTGCACGATGACAATGGACGCGTGCGAATTCATCACTTCTACAACGTCGGCCAGTGGGCCAAAGAGATCAAGAGGAACCCTGCAAGAGATGAAGAGGGCATTTTCGAGAACAACCGAGTGACCTGCCGTTTCAAGCGACCGTTATACGTCCCGAGGGAGGAAACGCTGGTAGACCTACATCTGTCATGGTACTACCTGTTTGCATGGGGTCCTGCCATACAAGGTGAGTGAGCAAGATTCGGCATAAAGTCAGCTGCCTTTTGCTCTTTGTGACGAATTCCTATTGTTTAACAGGCTCCATCACGAGGCATGACATCGACAGTCCTCCGGTTAGCGACCACATGATCAGCATCTATAAATACGAGGACATTTTCATGCCTTGCACAGCCTACCAGACCTTCAATTCTCCTCTCTGCTTATTGTTCATAGTAGCTCTCACCTTCTATCTTCTCATGGGAACGCCATAATGCACTATGCACAATAGATCACAAATGGGAGACAAGACACTGAAGACAGGAAGAACCAGCAATAAAAAAAAAAAATTCTACTTGATGCCATATACAACTGTACACTTTGCATAGAGAGACAGTATTAAATCAGTTAAAAATGATATTAGGAAAACCTACTACTCCTACAGATGATATAGACAAATTATTCAACAAATGATATAGAATTATTATGTATTAGAGGGGTCTTATAAAAAGTAGTATTAGATTTAAATGAGACAGTTATTTTCTGTATTAATGATAGCTTCCACTTAGTTGAAATACAGTGTTTACATATGCCAATAAATCAATGTCACAAGCCTTTAAAGCGCTGCATGCACCATAAAATGGTGGGAATGACATTAGAAAATATGCTGTTCACTGGTGTCTCATATTGAGCTTGGCTGAAACAAAATGTTTTTATAAAGATGGCTGGAAATAAAACAGCTTGCAAGCACACTTTCAGTCCTCGTACCCTGCTATGTCGCTATGGATATCTTCAATCCCATCTTTCTCAACTGCACTGAGTGCTTGTTTATCAGTACCATGGAGCTGTGACTGCAGAGGCAAAGAAAGACTGATAAAAACGAGTTACTCTCGTCAAGCAAGAAAACACTGAACAGGAGAAAACTGGATTGCAAAGGACTTTGCAGGGATATGAAATGTTTTTCCTCCTGATTGTTATTGTAGCATTTTAATCTGTATTAAAAAATGGCTGAATATACAGAAATGTTTGAAACAGTCTGTCACTAAAAGCACAAGTATATGCAACATATAACCTTCCAGTCACAAATATATTCAGTGTGACCTGTTTGGCAGACCCCAGTGTTAAGCATTTGCAATTTGACAGGGCAAAAATGGCATAACTCCTAAGATAATGCCATTGCCAGTGTGCTTTCTTGTACAGGCAGAAATAAAAATGTACATTTACAGCCAGCAGACAGTTTTGGCAAATTGATAATACTTTTGTGAGCTATCATGTTTTACACACATTGATCCGAACATTTGCAACAAACAGCTGTTTTTATAATATTAACTAAATGAGTGAATTTAACCATATCCAACAGTTAATTATTTTTTTAAAAACCCAAACAAACCTAAATATTTTTTAGGCAATCTCAAACACATGCATGTTAAATAAAGTTTCTTTTTGCATTAAATGAATTACAACAACAGTAACGTAAAAATAAACCTAAATATACATAAAACTTTTTCGTCACCTCTTCAAAATAAATGCACCAGCTGAGTACTACATTACCCACAGTGCCTGTGGGCAGTTCACTTCTGGAACGTCATATGTTTTCCTCCCTCACGCGGTGGAGCGGTTGGAAGGACTACCGGACCGACGGCAGAAACATGGCAGACGAGGAGGACTCCGCTTCGGAGCCAGCCGCTGTCTCCCCGTCGGCGAGCCCTAAATTGCCGCGGCCTCTCTCCGTTTCTTTCTCCGAGAGCGTGCAGCCGGCCGTCGGGATGATGAGCCAACTACTGACCCAGCCGTCCTCCCTAAAGTTTGACAAAAACATCAAGCAGGCCTTCTACAACACCGGGGCCATGATCTTCGTGGCTATCTGCTGCGGGGCAGCCGTGCTGGTCTACTTCATCCTGGAGGCCTTCCTCCGCCCGCTGCTGTGGGCAGTGCTCTGCGGCACCTTCCTCCACCCGTTCAAATACTCCCTGGCCCGCCTCGGCCGGTCGTGGCTCAGCGGCCTGCAGTGCACCGGGACGCCCGTCGTGGTGGGGACCCTGCTGGTTCCGGTGTGGTGCGTCAACCACGGGGTCGAGACCATGGGCCGGTTCGTGCTCGAGAGGCTGACGATGCTTCTGGTGGTCGGGGCCGGGGCGCCGCTGGTGTATTTCCTCTACCTGTTCTGGAGTGTCATCGGCATGCAGGTGGTGCTCGGGCACGTCTGTTGGGTCATCGGGGTGGTGCTGGACTGCTTCCACGTTGTGTGGGTGAGTGAATAGACGATTGTCAACACAGGCACACCTCCCTGTCCAGCTAACAAAAGACTGTGTCAGCCGGGATGTGTCCCCTCTGTCAGCTGCCTCAACTCAGCCACACTGCAGAGAAAATAAGTGCAAATAAATTAGACACAAACATGTATTGCTTTAGGAGTATAAACAAGAGTAGTTCATGAGTGGAAAGTCATTACAAAACTATAGAACGTTTTCCCAAAGTTAGTATAAGTATTATAACCAATAACTGATACATTTCTCAATGGTCCTCAAAATGTACGTTTGTTTTTGTATTTGAATGTGTGCGTTCCACATTAAAAGACTTCATAGAAACAGCTCAGAGGATTAAATCCAGCTACACATTTGGATAACACATCCAGATTAATGTCTCATGGCCTCTAAACAGCTGTAGAAAAAAACAAAAAGACATCCAAAGCACTGCAAATTGATTTAGAGCTGCAAACTAAGTTATATTACCTCACATCTAAAAAAGGGGAATATTTAACTACCCTCGACACAGGAAATGTGATTTGTTCAAATATGTGACCAAACTCACCTGTCAGCTGATTCTATTTCCTTATGAAATTGATCAATATTTTATTATTCCAAGGTAGCCTCGGGGCCTTGACCCCCCCCCCTTTTCTGTGGTCAAATCCAGACTGCATTATATGTACCTCATCAAAGAGCAAATGCTTTCTCTGAAGTCTGTGTTCTTTCACCACATAGCCCCTGTCTATAAATAGGGGGGAAGAACACCTTACTGAGTTACATCTGAAGAAGTCTTTGTGTGGAACGAAACCAGCTGAATTTTTTTGTGAGCAGTTGGTCACAGACTGCAGCATCTTATCTCGGACTCCGAACATGATCACCTTCATATTACATATTATGAGCATGATGCGACAAGTTTTCATGTTTTTTTTTCTACAGAAATTCTACACAAGGAAAGAATAGGAAAGACCCTGATAATTTCTTTTTAGTATTTAAGAAACTGTTGCTCACTACCACTTTCTAAGAATTGAGAAATTCTAACCCTAACTCACAAAACGTCTCCCTTGCTCTACCTTCGGGTCTCTTTGACATATTTGTCATATTTGTCTCCCCAGGTGGGCACCATTGTGTTTGGCTACTTGCTGGCAGTTTGCGTCAAATGGAGCCCCCAAACCGAGCGGTACCTGAGGGTTCTGGCTCTCCCTGTCTGGGGTGTCCTGGTCTTCTACATTGGTGAGTGAGGAGGCCAGAAAAACCTGTCCTGACATGTTACGCCTTCATGCTAAATTGCCTCTCAGTCTTTGGCGGAAGATTTCTTTCCCCCTTGAAAAGTGAGCGCAGAAATGTGGGGGAAAAAAAAGCAGTTTGAAGCAGCAAAGAGAAGTCTGTGCCTCCACAAGTCGGCAGAACAGGGTGTGATCAGAGCTGCGCAGTAAGATGAGGAAGTGGGCAGTATTTTTAGCACACTTCAGGGTGCTGACCTTCAGACGGATAATGTTAAGAGTGACAGGAGGCTTTCTAAGAAGATCTTCTGAAATGAAGAGCAAAAAGGAATTGCTCTCTTTTGTCAAGGGGCCTTGAACATCATGTTGACCAACAGCAAAGTGTTTTCACAAACGCGGTTAAAAGTCGTCTGATTAAGTTGCAGCCCTCATTTTCTGACTCTGCTTTTAGTGTCTGTGACTGGCTCGTGGAGAGTGCCCATATTTGTAGTGGTGGTGGTCCTTCTCATCGTGGGCTCCCAAGAAAAGCCCCCTGTTCCTGGAAAAGGTGAAGATTTACGCACAGGCATATTGACACCAACTGAAAAATGTTTCCAATCTACAAATATTCATTTCTTAATAGTTGGATCTTCACTTTTTCTTTGATCTTTTTACACCACTTTGTGTTTAAGAAAAATGGAATGATTCATATTATTAATGAATTCAGTCATTAACTAAGATGATCAAATGGGTTTTTAAATAATCTGGAAACATTTCTGCAGGAAAATATCTTCCTAACATTGGAAAAATAACCATCCTAAAATAGCCATTTAAAAAAAAAAAGTGTCTTCTTTGTTTCTCCAGCTCAAAAAGCACTTAGCTTAAGTTTCAGGTAGTGTTTGTGGTTATAAGCCAGCTTTAAAGGTTAAATGGTGAAAAACAAGGACACAAATGTAGAGGACGGTTGGCATTTTGAATGCGACCTTCTCTGTGTGTTACCTTTGCTTGTGTCTCGTCTCACCAGGGGAGCTGTCAGGACAGGTGCTGTCATTCGCTGCAAACACAATCTACATGGCTATTTCGTGTAGCAACCTTAAGCCCAAAGCTGGACCAAGTGAGAACTCTACCACAGGTAAACATGACAAATATAGACAAGGGTTAAATTCCTCTTGGAATGGAGCATGAGAATTGTCAGATTTGTGGAAGAAATGGCCTCAGGCAGACATCTTAACCCCACATTTCTGCTCTTGGCTGCACTATGTTGCCACAGTGGTGTGAGCTTTGTTCTGACTTCTTCTTCCTCATACTTATAAGATGGCATGCCCTCAGTGGGTCCTCTTCCCACCAACCCAGGCTTCCCTCGAGGCTCCCGTTCCTTACAAGCCGGCCTCTTCCATAATGATCAGAGCTCCCGTAAAGCCAGCGATATCTACTTTATTCTGCTGGTCTGGGCCATTGTGCTGGTTCAGATTTGGCTCAACCTCTGGATCCTACAGCTGCTGCCTATCCCTGTGGCCGGTAACACACACACACGCACACACACAATTTCCTCAGTATAATGCCTTGCTGCTGGACTTACAGGTGTGTTGCTCTGATGATTCAGTGTGGGTGCTGAAGAAGCTGGTGGTCCACTTTGGTCTGAAGAGCTTTGCTGAGCGGACTTTGAGCTCCTGGTGGACGGTTTTGGAAAAGTTTGGACGCGAGCGTGAGGAGGCCTTGCTGCCTGGACCAATCAAAGGCCTGGCTCTGTTCCTGCTGCGAGTCGACACCAAGGTAACCCCTGGGGTCCCATGCGGTGGTTCTGCCGCCACACACCCACATGCACTCACACACTCAGAGTATGAAGGCCCTCTGTGGCTGTTGGGATTGTGGCGTCAGTAATTAGCGCTAATTATGTGTCATGAAGCACAAAATGTGTTGAAAGGCTTTCAACATGATGTGCTCCCTATGGGTTTTCTGATTTTGACAGCATTTAGAAAAAGTCTGAATGAGTCTGGACTGCTGCTTCCTAAAGGGAATGTCTTGTGTTTGGCTGAACCCAGGAGGTGATGAGAGCAGGCCTGGAGAAGGAGACAGTTGTTCTGGATCTTGTTGGTTTGGTATTTTACACTGTGTTGTAGTTTTACCATCTTCAGAGGTGTGCTTCCAGATGTGGTTCATGTGATACTTATTGTAAATGGTGTCTTTCAGGTGTAACTAGCCTTATTCCTGAACTGTAGATATATTTGTCTCTCACATCAGTCTTTAATTGTCTCTGCGTGCAGCTCTACAGCTGACATATACATATTTTAACATTTTAATTTTAATATTTTAGCTTGGTTGAACATTTGGTGTGCTGTCCAGGATAAAATGCATACTACTTCCAGCAATATCAGAATAACACTTGTTATTGTACTGGTGTTGAAGATGGATTAAATTACCAATCATGCTCTGTGGAGGTTTGTAGCTCTTATTTAGTATTTTGGTTAACAATCTGAGGACTAAACACAAAAACAAAACTGAAAGGAGAGTGAATACTAGGCCAGTGCTGATCTGGTGACCCACATTAAGGTTGGTGTGGCTTTGTTGGAATGATTAGATTTATCCTGTATGCCTGTGTGTGCGCTGATGAATCTCTCATCTTAATTTGTTAAAGAACATGAACACTTATGTTTCACGAGAGAGGATTAGAAGCCTTTATAAAAGGAGAATAATTGTCAACTTTTTTCACTTTCCTCTAAGGAGGGATGCATTAATAACATGTTTGTTGTCACCCTGATTTGCATCCCAATCAAAGGCCAGTCCACACTCCCTGTGGGAGCTGTAATCCGATCCTGCATTCCACCGTCTGAGCCCTCACTGCTCACACCCAGGTTGTCCCCTTGTGGCGTGGGTACATGTGATGAGAACTGCACTGATCTTTCCTACAGTAATCTTCCTAATGTCTCTTTGTCTCCCCTTCCCAAGCTCTGGCATTGGCTTAACAAGCAGGTAATGAGCGTTTGTGTATGAGAGAAAGCGACACAACAAGGACAAAAGATAACCTCCCTTTACTTGTGGGTGTGTGTGAGGACGTGAGCACACCTTGTATTTGCTTGGACTGGCGATTTCCTACCCATCCACTGTCACCTCCCTCTTATACTGTTGTAACATCTGTCTGCTTTCCTGCTTCCTGCTTTCTTTTTTTTTTTTTTACAGGAAGCTACAGTCGAAAGCGGGGGGGATTGGTCGATCCCTCAGCCTCGTCTGTACCTTTCCTCTTTGATCTTAGCTGGCAGGTTTGTTTTGGGAGTGTGAGCTGCATGGAGAGGCTGATGTAAACTGACCGAGCGGAGCAGCACCACAGGGAGGATTCTTTTATTTAAAGAATCTTTTTTACACTCACGAGAATACACTTTTTTAAAAGTGTGGGTTAGGAGTGGGCACGGACAAAAAAATGGAAACGGTTTTTAATGGTGGTCTGTACGAATGGGCCAAGATCTGACAACTCATCACTCTTAAGTTATTTCTGTGTAGACACGTTGACACGTGTTCCATGATTTGTAACGGCCTGCTTTAGCTGGTTGAAATCTAAGATGATTTTGGTCGACTTGGTTCAAATTTATCGCATAAAAAAATGCATCAGATCTTAATCTGCCGGTGGCTTCATGCTGCCTGATTTAGTGCTGAGAGTACAACCTCCACTGAAGTAGACCAGCAGTCTATTCATGCTTGACACCCTAATAAACAGCTCCCAGTAATTAAAGTCACAATCAGTTTCCATCATTTTGTCAGCCACCTTTTTCTGCTGCACCGGCTTTAATCCCCATCAGTCGATCTATAATCGAGTTTGTAGCTGTGACGCTTTTGGCCTCGCACTGACAATCATATCACGCCACCATCCATGTAGTAAACGCATTAGGATGAGATCTTGTGACCAGCTGTCGTCTCCTAACAACTTCTTAAGGGTCTCCTGTCATGGGCTCCAATAAATGAGCATACACGGAGAGGAAATCTGTCTTTCAGCTGTCCATGAAGGTTTGGAGCATTGAGAAACCTGCGTTTAGAACCACGACATCTTCTGAAAGCATGAGCACGTACAGGCGCCGGCAGAATTACTCAACCCCAACAGAATGAATGATTTCAAATTTCGAGAAATTCTTTGAGGCCAAAGGGACAAATTCATCCTTTTCGGTAAGGTTTTGTGTCCCCGGTGGCTCATTATCCTCGTGGCCTCTAAACGGAATCTTTTAAATCCAAAAACACGCCTTTACATTGGAAGGACACAGGTTTCTCCATGTGTCTGATCACTGTGTGTTTTTAAGTCCCCTCAGAATCGTATTAATATGTCTTTTCTGTTTGTCTTGGCCCTCCTTTCCTGTCTCTCCCCGTCTTGGCTCTCCTCTGTGCCCAGATGATTGTGTGGCTGGAGCGGTCGCTGGATAAAATCATCAGCATCTTCATCATCTGCCTCCTGGTCACAGGGACCCTGCTTATGGCTCTGCTGCTCACCGCTATGGTAAATCTTTGTCTTTGTGAGGTCGCAAACAGTAAAATTAGCCGGAATAAGGGAAAAGAACCCTTTTTTTTTTTTAGGTTCATCACGAAAGCGTTCACATCATCGAGGTAACCAGTAATCTCATCAATGAGACCGTTTCCAACCATCCGGAGTGGGCAAAGTAGGACACTTTGTTATTAGTTTTCCTCTGTTAAATACCCAGTGGCTCGTCTTGCTCCCCAAACATAGCTGCCCCTCATGTGTCGGCCTTTTCTAGTTTGCTTCCAGAAGCTCGTGTCGTACAGAAAGCTCTGAATTCAGCGGCTACCAATGTTTATCAGCATGGCAGAGAGTGGATAACGCAGAAGGTTGGAGTGCTTTCCTCTCAGATGTGAAGAGAGTGTCGCGCTTTGTCTGCCAGGGATGCCCCAAACCCTTGATGTTTACTTTGCATGCAGCTCCATAAGATGCTCGGGGAGAAGGCGAACAACACGACGGTGATCGAGAAGCAGGTTTTGGAGCTCTGGGACCGTCTTTACCATTCCTGGTTTGTGAAGGTAACATTAAGAATCTGCAGCAAGCCTCCTCCTGACGTTGGGTCGGCACTTGTGCGTAAAACAAGGTGTCCACATCTCCAGAATGTGACTTATGCTGGGCGCCACCGAGGGCACAAGATGACTCACAGACAGAACAGCTGGCTAGGAGACATTCTGGACTGGAAGGACATCGCCTCCTTCCTGCAGGAAAATATCGAGACTCTGCTCTCCGTGAGTAGAAGCGTGCCTAAAAATGGTTGTTGATTAAAAACTTCAGGTCGGAAATGGTAGAAAACTGTAAACAGACAGGGAAGAACAGCATTCCTGTGGATGGGATGTTTACTGCTGGGGTGCATTGTCTTTATAGATCCTGGAGTCTCTGTGGGTGGTTATGAGCAGGAATGTAGGCCTCCTCTTCTCCACCACCACCACCCTCCTCACCGTCCTGTTCCACAGCGGCACGGCGCTGCTCAACTTCGTACTGAGTCTGGTAAGAAAGGCTGATGGCCTTTCCACTAAAAGCTAATCAGTCAGTAGAACAGGCTTTTGTTTCCGGGGGAATATATCTCAAACCCATCTCAAGGCTTCTCTCATTTTTGGAGGTTTTCAAACGCTCTGTGGGGATTTTAATGTCTTCCTGCCGGCTTTAGAGGTGACACTGACACGGGTCTCCCATGCAGGTGATTTTCCTCACCACTCTGTTCTACCTGCTGAGTTCCAGCGGTGAATATTACAAACCCGTAAAGTGGGTGATCAGCCTGACGCCGCTGTCCCAGCCGGGACCCTCCTCCAACATCATTGGCCAGTCTGTGGAGGAAGCCATCAGGTGATCACACGCACAACAAGCTGCCGAATCCAAACATACACCCCCGTGTCGGAGGGCTTAAGTCTGACCCTGCTTCTGTGTTGAAGAGGGGTGTTTGACGCCTCCCTGAAGATGGCTTGTTTCTACGGGCTCTACACCTGGCTCACTCACACCATCTTCGGCATCAACATCGTCTTCATTCCCTCCGGTGAGTCGGCGTCCTCAAACGCGCTCCTGCGCAGCCACAGTCACGGTTGGTGACTCCTCCATCCCTCTGTTGTGGCCTGAAGCTCTGGCGGCCATCCTGGGGGCCGTGCCGTTCCTGGGGACCTACTGGGCGGCGGTGCCGGCCATGTGCGACCTGTGGCTGGCGCAGGGCCAAGGAGTCAAAGCCCTCCTGCTGCTCGTCTGCCACCTGCTGCCCACGTACTTCGTGGATACAGCCATCTACTCTGACATATCGGGGTACGTATCCCAGAACCGCACAGACACGTTTGAGAAACACGTTTCAGCAAATGCCTGCCACCGGGACACATTAGAACTCAAATTTGACATCAACGCATGGGCCTTGTGTACAATACAGTGAAAACGTATAAATGCTTTTTCTCAAAGATTAGTTGAAATGTCATGTATATGATGTCAATTAAACTTTACATTTAAAACGTCTTTTTGAGCAGGAAGAGGACTTTTTGCTGCCATTAAAACGTACTCAATAGGTTTTAAACCGATATCCTGATTGAATATACCCTGCTGTCTCAGGGGGGGGCACCCATACCTGACAGGCCTGGCGGTCGCAGGCGGAGCCTACTATCTGGGTCTGGAGGGGGCCATCATTGGGCCCATCCTTCTGTGCATCCTGGTGGTGGCGGCCAACATCTACAGCGCCATGCTGATGAGCCCCAGCTCCGCTCTGCCCACGCCGGTGCAGTCCAGCTGGCCTGTCCACTCCATGAAGTAAACGACACACCTGAAATACCTGAAACGCTTCTAAAATAGTTCATGTAGAGGAATGCCAACGCGTTTTGTTTCTGTACCTTGCAGGACCTTCACAGAGTCCACTCCGTCTGTCCTGAAGAAGTCCAGTGAGTGAAGGTTGGAGGATGTGTCTCTGTGGTCTGTCATCTGGCTTTCCTATTGGCTGACCCTTCAGGGAAAAGCGTTCCCCTCCCTGAGGCTCCCTCCAAACGCCGCCTGGCTCCACAGGGCCGACCCGGACCGAGCAGTGGAGGCATCGCGGCGCCCAGTGAAGCGGTCCGCTAACCAGAGCGAGCGCTTTGTCTGAGCTATACGGAGACGGCTCCTTCCACTCAACAAGCATCCCTCCTGATCCCAACCCTGGACCAACGACAGCACCTCGGGTTTCCCATGACGTACGACAGAGACTTTGATGCTAATCACATCATTACTCTGAAATCAGTGCCTAAATTCATTTTGTTATACTGAGAAACGTGTAAAATTCCTGCGTATTTACTCATAGGATGAGTTTTTTTTTTTCTGATGTAGTCCCCGCTCTCCCTGGCCGTGTCCATGCTCATGTGCCCTTTGTGGTTGAACAGTATTTTTCTAACACTACCTCTCTCCTCATGGAGGCTCCAGTAGAGCTTTTGGCCACTGCTTGTTTGTGAAGTTTTTCCTGCTTTAGAGGTCAGACCTACCCCATGAGATGGAGCCATTGGTTGTTTATGTATTCTAAGTTTACACACAACAGCTACTGCAGCTGAAACATGAATGAGATATCAACACTTTGAGGGGCTGTGACACACACACAGACCCTGTTGTGCTCCCACACCGTCATCCTCAACCGAGTTCAGACAGACGATGACTTTGCATCAGTTTAGACAGCCCTGATTACTGATATATCTGTTTTACATTCTTTTTATTTATTTATTTTAAAAAGAATATATATATATTTAAAAAATAGATAAATAAAATGTATAAATTCATATTGATTTATTTTTAAACGCACACAATGCCGTGTCTTTTGGTGGCCACACAGATCTGGAAGCACTGAAGCACAGTTACACTCGGTACACCTTCATTTGTTTCACCCTTAACACTTGGGCACTTTTAAGGTTTGAAGGGGCTGAAGAATGTTGTAATCATGTCATCCACTCCTGCTTTAGAATTGCTCCGCTCTAACTAGAGACAGCATTTTGCTGGGAGGAGAGTGCACAGCGGTTGGCATCACATGAAGCTTTAATGAGCAGCACAGGATGGCCTCACGGTGATGGAACAGCCACCATGTTAGCTATCTGAAGGCTGGGCCTGATAATGCATCTTAACTTAACACTTTTGTTTCCCTTTGGAGAAATTGCTGCTTTTTTGTTTTCCAGTAATGGTTATGCACCAAAATTAACATAATTTAACTGCATTTGCTTTGTTTCATGCACTCTTCTGTAGTCTTTCTCTTATAATTGCTTTAAAAGAAGACATTATTTAATAAAAATAAAAAAACAACCATATTATTAATGCTTGGAAGGTTTAACACTGATATGCTTTAAGAGAAGAAAACACTAAATGAGCCAGAACAATCAGGAGTATTATCTCTTTTCTCTTTCTGATTTAAAATAAAAATGATGGAGAAATAAAATCTTGTTCACTGTGTGCTTTTGAAAGTCAGAGCCAGACTCTGTCATCGGTTCTGTGAAGGCTTTACAGATTGTCATTGTGTCAGCAAAGCTCTGGACAGATGGACAGAATAAATACATAATAATAAATAAAACCATGAAACACCAGCTGATTAAAAAATGGCTACCAGGGATCCAAATTTGTAGTGAAACTGATTTATTTTCCTCCGGAAATGACTCAGTTTCATCATTTGATTCCCCACCAGCCCTGAAATAACAAAGATGAGGATCGTCTTACCTGAGACTGATCCTGAGTGAAACTGCAGAACCGCTAAGAGTGAACTTAAATCCTTCTAGGAAAGAGGAAATGGGGTGGAAAATATCAGCTCAGCTTAAGCTCCCTGTGGATTCTGCTCCATGTCGCGCCGGTGAAAACTGGTGATTGTGAAGCTAACAGCTTGTCAAACTGAACCCTCGTGAGGCTGAAAAAGTGTTCTAATTACATTAAAAGGTGATTAAATCCTCACTTATTTTTGCTGTCAGATAATACAGCTCTTATGTTATTCTTTGACATAACTTTCAAAGCTGTTTTTTTTCAGAAAAATCTCTTGAATGACTAAGAATCTAAATGATAAATAAAGATGTTTATTGGTATTAATTAATTGCAGTGAAACATCCTCTTCTTTTTTAAATATCCAGAATCTTTTAGAATATGTGTCAAATGTTCCTGCCATTTCTTTAAAAAGTGAGCAGCTGCTGATTGCTTAGAAAGGAACACAGAGATGACAAACTGAAGGGATCCAGACTAATAACCCTTTGGAGAAGTTAAACCATCTGAGGCTACTTTAATCTAAACATGGGTGAGAGTAAATGTTATCAGATAAAACGTTACGAACAGTGAGTCAGTGCACTTTTATTCCAACATAACACAATACGCAACAAGTATTCCCACACGTGCAACAAGTGTGGGGGGGGGGGGGGGGGGCAGCTTAAAAGAACATGAGGCTGTTTCAAAGACAAGGAGGAATGAGAGAATATGTCAAACAAATTACACTGACGCACTTATAACTTCATAAATTCACAATGTTGCTCCCAACATGCTTTAATATTCAGATTTTTTTCCAGGAGTTTCCCTCTGGGCTGCAGTCCGA